GCTCAAATGATGGGTATGAAAATATCAAAGTATTGTCGGCCTTATCAACTTAGACCATCCACAACCCTGATATTCATGGTGGAGTTCATCAGAAATTTTTAATAATATTTTTGGTGCGAGAAAGAAAAATAAAACTGAACCAGAAAAATTGCTTCCCATAATAAAAAATTAACTCCCTCCAACAGCCAATACGCGTGTGCCACGTACCGTTGAACCTCGACAATACAAGTTCGTCCGACTCATCTCTTTGAGATGGTATCAACGAATATATGGGCCAAAATGATTAAAACAAATCAAAAATATTACGTTGGGCCCTGCTTTTGATACTGCATTGTGGATGGTCTTATGAATTCTTTAACACTCAACAGTAGTAAGAGCATGTCCATTGGTGAACCCCTCTTAAAGAGGTTCATCAGATATTAATTTTTTTTTTTAATTCAAAAATTAAAAAAAAAACTTTCGCCTAATGACATCTTGCCACCTGGACAAAATTGGACGAACCTGAGGTCTTCAGGATTGTCCTGATGAACCGATCCTTTCCATATAAGCATTATTTCTTTTTTTTAATCAAAACTGCTTATGAACTCGAGCCGAACTCTTTCTCCAATCCCTCAATGGACATGCTCTAAGGTCCCAATTTTTGGAAGCCTGAAGAATGGGGCTTTATGGGATTATCACTATTTATTAAGAAAAAGGCATTCTTCTTTCTTCATGACAATTATTGGTTGTTTATCATTGTCATTAATTAATGAAATTAAATTAAATCAGAAATTAAATTTTATGTATCCTCAAAACTCTAATGAAAGCGCGCAAGGCCTATGGGCCTAAAAGGAGAATTTGAAATTGAACCAACAATGAATTCCCGTAGTCCACTTGAGAGAAGTCGAGTCGCAGGAAACTTGATTTAAACAAACTATTATTTGGACATGGATTATAGAATTATAATCTTAACGTGGGTTGTTTATATGCAGTAAGTAAGATATCGAAATATGAAGAATGCATTCATAATTGTTGTGAGATAAGGAAGTCAGAAAATTTTGAATGCTTCATTGGGTGTTTTGAGGATAAAGATAAGAGGAAGGGAACACTGCATGAGATGATGAGAATGTGTTCCAAATCCTCAAAGATATGGAGATTGTTGTTGCATCTACCATAGAAATCAATCTTCTTCTTAGTGATTTGAGCGATGAAATATGTTATATTCTTAGTATCACTTATTCACTTATCACCTTGAATTAAATGGGAAACATTATATAAGAATTTTGAATATTATAATAAAATGACAAATCATATGTTATTGAGATGCTCGTACTGGAGCTACAACAAGGAGAATGGAGTAGCCTTTTCTTTTGGAAAACCAGGTGTAGCTTGTGGTATTTGATGATTGATGAATTTTATATATGTACAGATCATGTGTTTGGAGCTTCACTGAAATATTTTTTTTCTTTTTGTTGTTGATATGTGAATTTACATTGACATAGGCTTCGAAAGATTTCTATTTTTTTTGGAAATTTGTTTAGATTTACTATCTTGATTGATAGCCAAAAGAAAAAAAAAACAGGATTAAACATATCGAGATGCTGAAATAAATCCTTTTATTCATAAATATCAAACATACATAGATCCATTTACACTTGTACAACACCAATACTAACCTAACGTCCTCTTACTATTTGGACAAGTATTTGCACGCCACTGACTAAACAATGTAAGTGGAATGCATGTCCACATGGCGGTTTGACGGCGGATTTAAAACGCCACCTAAAGACGATTTTTGCAAACAATGATCATATGATAAAGAAAGATAATTCTTGGTTAATTCCATTCGCTCCCCTAGTTTTTGTTTTTCAATGTTAGTGTCGGTCTAGCAGAGTGTTTTCGCCGCGTATTCGCCAATAGAACATTCCACTCAAATTGTCCTAAGCAAATTGGACAAACGTCTTTCTCTTTCCCATGCATAAATAAGAGGAGCTAACTATACTATTTGATGCTCATTGTTAGATTTTTCAGAATCTGAGTATATAATAATTATCATCATCATATTCACCCAAACAATTATTACCATTAGACAAATTTGGGCCTCTGATCTCAATGCCATGCCTAACTTTCTTTCAGTTTTCATTTTTCAAAAACGATAAACGGCTAAATGCACTAAGTTAATATAAAAATGTCATTTTATATTTGACAGAATGTACACTAGTATGACATATTTGATCAATTATATTACTTTTTCATAATTTTTTGCTTATCTTTTGTTTATGTTTTGTTTATGTTTTGCTTATATTGTAATTATTTTATATTTATTTTTACCAAATTATTTTATTTATTCTTATTTCATATATTTAGTATTTATTATAATAATAGTAAAAATAATTAATTAAATAATCAAAGATGAAATGAAATAACTTTATATGGCTAAATAAACATATATTATCCAAGTTAATTTTTTTTGTGTTGATGTAGACAAAGGAAATTGTACTATTATATATATATATATATATATAATTTCTTGACAAAAAGTATTCCTTTAACAAAAAAAATTCCCAATAATATTTTAATTAACAATAAGGTATGATTTATAAGATACACTAGATTTTAACCCCGTGCGTCGCACAAAATTTTTTTAGTTTTAATCTAGGTTGCATTAATTTTTTTGTTTAGATATAATTAGTTTTTGTTATTTATTTTTTTTAATCAAAAAATTGTTATCATGTTTTAATTTTAAACAGTAAAAATTTGTATATTAGTAGAATAAAAGTATGCGTTAATTAAGTATACATTGATCTAATGTTAATTATAAATTTTGTTATTATGTGAATTTAGATTTACACATAACTAATCTATATATCTATGAATTTGCTAACCCAATAATTTTCAATAATTTGAAATTTAAATTAAAGATGAACTAGATTTTAGGAAACTTAAAAATATTTAAATTAGTAATTAATTTTTGGAAATTAAATATAAATATAAAATAAAATATCATAAAAAAATTTTGGAAATGTTTGGAAGCAAGTACTAAAAGTGCTTCTGTTTTAATATAATAGATATGTGGTTCATGATTGATATGATACATTTGTGGTTTATGATTTATACGATAAATATGTGGTTGATGATTAATTAAAAGTTTATGTTCGTCCATATATAAACGTAATGAAAATTTTAAACCCTAGATTAAATAGTGTTTGCTTAGATCAAATGTTAAGATAGTATTTCTTTCAAACTAATGCATGTAAATATTTGTAAGCAAGAGAAATTTTTAATTACCTTTTACAATTACAGTGGAAACTTTAAAGCGAGAAATCTGTTTATAACAATTAAAACGTCTCCCAATTAATTAAAGCTAAAACCATTGGAATAGAAAATTATAGGGAACATGGTAAACACTCGTAGTTTTCCTTTATTTTGGATTTGTATGTAAAAGTTTCTTCTAACTTTTTACCAAAAAAAAAAAAAAAGTTTCTTCTAATATGGTATTATGGTAGTCAGTAGTCACCAATATTTGTTTCCCAAATTGTTATTGTATACTTTACTACAGATCTAAACTCATGAGTCATGACATTAGTCCATTCGCATTTCGTTGTATTTTTCTTTGCCAACCACCATTTGTATTTCTATATTTCCCAATAGTGGAACTGTGGAAGTTTCCTTGATCACGTGATTGATCATGTGTTTATTATTGTTTCAAAACAATAAGATTTAGAATTCGATTCTCAAAGGATATGATCTCGTGAGTGTTAGAGGTGGGCTTAGCATCCCAATTAGCTAAGCCCATCTTGAATAATAAGGCCTATATGGATTAGTTTAACAAAAGTTAAACCAAAGTCAACGAATCCAGTCAGCTTGGCTTCGTCCAAATCGTCATCATCACGACGCAAATCTACAATGTGTGGAACCGAGCAGAATCTGAATCTGACACATGTAGAAGCAGTTCGTTTACAGTGGCCTATCTGCGCAAGTAGCTCGGCGAAGGACCATCATCACTCGCTGCAGAGTGGTTCAATCGTGCGGCTCGAAATGTCATATCCGCAGGATGTGCTGAAGCTGCCACGTCATCTCGGTTTGGAGGAGACTCGTCTCTCAACCCCCGCTATAAATATTCCTCATAGATCATTTATAAGTGGATCCGAAATTTATTACACTCTCTCTCTACAAAAAAACTCTCTTTATCTGTCAGACTGAATTCTTTGTAATAGTATTTAGAATGTCGAACTAAACTCTCTTCAGACTTAGTTCGAAATTCTAAATATTCTCTTTTTTATCAGATCGCATACGGTACCAATTTGATTTCTTTTCCTCTTCCAAACCGATCTTTTTTATTATACGGAAATCTCGCCCCAAACTTATTATTAATCACCCCTAATATCTCTTAAATATACTTAATTATCTCGAGGATCAACAATGAGTTCATCGTGAGTATCTTTGTAAACAGGTAAAATATTATTTGTAGAATCATATATGTAACTGTTTTTATAATTTGTAATAGAAAAAAAATGATACCGTATTTACCACAATAACAAAGTTTTATATTTTTGTATTGGTGGTGAATGATATGAAGTTTATTCATATATATTAATTCATCAAGATTTCAAGTGTTCAAAAAGTGTTTTACAATATACTTAATTTGGACGGATCAAAAAATAAAACTTAAATGAATAACAAAAATAATTTTACCGAAATTTAAACCAGCTTTTTAGCGTTTTATTTCATGATTATGCTGTAAAAAAATACATTCATCTGAACATCTCCACTAACTTTCATAATAAATAATTCAACTATTCAATAATTTCACTATTAATCTAAAATACAGATCAAGCCCATTATTTCCGCGAATAACGCAAAGACAGTATACAAATATTCTGTGTTTGCGATTTCTTTCTCTTTCATTCAATTAATATAATCCATCTCATGTTCACCGTCAAAGTAACGCTCAAATTCCATTCAATATTTAATTTGTCACTAACTTCTTGTCCATTTTCACCTCATCTCTAGCTCCTCTCTCTCTATCTCGCTCTCTTCAGTTGCCATGTCTTACACTAAGAAACATGCCAAAATCGATCAATGGCCAGAGAAAGAAAAGGAGAAATACACTAAAAACAGAGAAACCCTAAAGCTGACAATTCCAACTCTTCTTCTCTTCTGCTCCGTTTGTCTCATCTTCCTAATCCTCCTTTTCCCATTCACCTCTCCACCACAAACAACATCATTTCCAGCCTCGTCACTCCCTCGCACGTGCTTCCAAAACTTCACCGTCTACGTCTACGATCTTCCCAAAGAGTTCAACACCAACCTCCTCCAAAACTGCCGACACTTGAACATCTACACCGACATGTGTCCTCACGTGGCCAACAACGGTCTCGGCCAGCCTCTCCGCCGCGACAGCAAAACGTGGTTCGCGACGCACCAGTTCATAGCCGAGATGATCTTCCACGCACGTGTGGAAAACCACCCGTGCCGCACTTTAGAGCCAAGCAATGCCGACATTTTCTACGTTCCCTTTTACGGTGGGCTCTACGGTTCTAGCGTGTTCAGAGAACACAACCTAACGAAGCGCGATGAGGTAGCCGTTAGATTAGTCGACTACGTGAGCGGTCAACGATGGTGGAAGAAAAGCAACGGTCGAGATCATTTCTTGGCGATTGGGAGAACAGCTTGGGACTTCATGCGAGCTAGTGACGAGGCAGGCACTGACTTTGGAGCAAACACACTCATGGTAATGCCACGTGTCATGAATATGTCGGTGCTGACCGTGGAGAGGCAGCCGTGGAAAGGTGACAATCAGTTTGGTATACCGTATCCTTCTTATTTTCATCCGTACACGTCAGCAGAGATGGTGACGTGGCAAGACAAGATGAGAATCGTCGAGAGACCTCACTTGTTTAGTTTTGTCGGTGGGCCGAGAAAGGGCTTGGAAAAAGCAGCGATTAGAGACGAGCTGATCAGGCAATGCGCCGGCTCGAGCCGTTGTGAGCTTCTAAAGTGTGAAAGTGGAGGGACCAGGTTAGATACTTTTTTTTTGTAACCTTTATAAAGTTTGACAATTATAAGTTGTTTATTTATTACCCTGGACCTCAATTTCAATATTGAAGGGGTCCATAATCATCAATTTCAATACTATTAACAACTACTGCCACAATAGGTTACTTTATTACATTACATTTTCATTGGTTAACATTTCCAAATTATTCAACTAGAAAATTAGTTGTGCAACAAAATCCCATGTGTTTTGTGTATCCATTTAGATTGTCTTCATTAGAAAATGTTTTAATCTGATTCACATAGCCCAATATACATCTTTTTGTTCAGCCATTTCTTCTAACCATTAATTATATGGCCAATGTAGGTGTCACGATCCGATGACGGTATTAGGAGTGATGGCTCGGTCGCGGTTTTGCCTACAAGCACCAGGGGACTCGTTCACGCGAAGGTCAACATTCGATGCAATGTTAGCCGGGTGCATACCGGTGTTTTTTTCACCACACACCATGTATACTCAGTATATGTGGTATCTTCCTGACGATAGAAGAAGTTACTCGGTGTTTATGGACGAAAAGAATAGCACTCAGATAGAACATGAGCTTTCGAGGATCTCGGATAGTGAGGTGGTTATGTTGAGGGAAACAATTATAAATTTGATCCCGAGCATGACTTATGCGCATCCAAACGCTACAAACTACGATTTGCTGGATGCTGTTGATGTAGCTTTAGAGGCACTAGCTAAGCAAGCAAGAGGCAAGGTTGTGTAATTATTGTAAGCCCTATATTTTAAATATTTTTTTGGATATAAATAATTGGCAGAAAAGACACGTATGTCTATGAAAAGAAGTTGTTCTCATCTATTTGGTTAAAGAACTAAACTTATCAACTTGCATCTCATAGTCTCTAGCGGCATTTAGAGGTCTAAAGATGTGTTTGGTCACTGTAGCCAATTGCATCGTGGCTGGCCTAGATATACAGAGAACAAAGAAGACATCAAATAGGAAGTAATAAAAATGCTATAGAATAAAGCGTTTTGTTGAAAGCAAAAGTGCCATTTTTGGAAAAATCTTTGTTTTGGAAATATTGTTGACATCAAGATTAGTACCAACTTCAAGACTAACAGCTTTTCTTAAAAAAGTTGCAAGAAATATTTTAGATGTGATGAGTTTTCAGCACAAATATACACTAATCAACGCAGAAGGAATGGTGAGTTATTTAGGAGTATTATGTATTTATTTTTGCTAAAGAAGGAATTGTGAATTACAGGAAGACAAAATACTGGAATTCAAAAGAACTTCTAATTTCCTAATGAAGAAATTTAAAGATGCCTTTAAAAGACTACAAAAATGATAACGAAATATAAGAGCACTCGATATATTTTTTTCCTAGTGGAAAATCTTCCTCTTGTTTTTTGTGAAATCTTTACTTTTGAATATTCTTAACTCATTTTAGCGGATATTCATTGTGGTTCCTTGATGCTTGTTTGAAAAGCATGAATTAATTTTATTTAATTTGGTCTGACTCATAAAATTATGGAATAATTAAAAAATATAGGGAAAAAGTTACTATTATCCTCTTATTACTTATATTTTAAAAATTGTCTCCTTAATACTTCTACTAATTATTTAATCTTTTTTACCCTTTAAATTGAATTTTAACATAATCATAAAAATACTTTATACCAAATATAATCAGATTACATAAAAATAAAAAAAATAAAAAATAAAATGTACCCTGACCCTTGTAGAATTCACCTCTTATTATTGTTGACTTCGACGAAAGAAAAAAAAGAGACAAACTCCGATAACTTTTCTCTGGTTTAGCCTTAGCTGGATCTGCCATCTATTTTGACTCCGGTTAATCAAATTAACCGCCGTCCTCCTCTTATGTCATCTCCCTACTCCTTCTTTGTTATTTTGTTTCATTCGATTGAATTGTTAAAAAAATTTAATCACAATTTGATTTATGTTTTCTGCAGCCATATTTATTTTTGGGGATAGAGAATGCCGCCGCCACTGTATCAACTGATAATTTCAAGATAATCTATTGATTTACAGTGTTTAGTGTCCACTAACTTCTAATGATTTTGAATTTGATGCAGATAAGTTGTTTCTTATGAAATCTTTGTCTTCGACATTCTTATTTGTTTTTGCAATTTGGTTTATGTGTGTTTGTTGCTTAAAGCTATCTTCGAGATGAGATCATACTGTTGCTTAGTTGTAAGAACTAGTTCTTTGTAAACAACAGTTTCTGCGTTGTTATTGCCAAGATAAATTATTTGATTGTGGACATAATTTTGTTTTCTATTGCTCTATGTTCCTTGTTTATGTTTGCTTGGAAACTATGTATATGCAAAGTTTGTCTTTTTCACCTCTGAGTTGTACTCTTTGGGTATCATTTGTTTCTGGTTGTAGGGTTAAAACCGAAGTTTATTGTAGTGTATTTTTTTCTTTCCCAAATTTTTATTGCACTGCTGAAAAAGAGAGGATAATATGGTTTTTGAATCGAACTAAGTGTATGCATTTTTATATTTTTCATTGTTTTGATAATATATTGTAAATTATAAGCCGTTGATGTGTTCCAGCACATAATGTATATGCTTATTTGCAGATCAAAAGGCCTGAGAGGTAACAACTACAGTTCAATCTTCTAGGTTCTTAAGTTAAATCCTTCTCTCAGGTATGTCTTCAATCTCTTTCCTCTATGTTGTCTTTGATTCTTTTATGGTTTGAAGCAATGTCTCACTTTAAAGATGTGTGTTCTCTATGAAAAGCATTTTCTTATATCAATTAGTCTATTTTGAGTTTTTTTTCAAACTATTCATGCTTTTTCACAATTAAACAATTGTTAATGATGTTGTTTTTCTAATTTGCAGGAATGGATATGGAATTGCTTAAATGATTTTTTTACGCCAGGAAGTGAACCGCAAGTTGAAAAAATTAACAACCGCTGCACATTGTCGATCCCTACCCAGGTTGAGACGTACCTCAAATCTGAGTACGAGAAAGTGTTAGAGAGATCTGGTATTTGGTCCGATTGTGAAGATTCATCGAAATAGTTTTGGATATTCGACGAGGCTGATCCACAGCTTTATGTGCAAACAGCTCATGACACCTTCATACCTATGCGTAATCAAAAATTTGATTGTTTTAGAATTGGAAGTTAAAGATTTCCAATGTGAGTTTTGAAAGCTTCGAAAAGTGGAGTGTTAGAATTGGAAGAAATAAGAATTGTGTCGCTCAAGATGGAGCTTATGCGTGACGTAATGGATTTGCTTAAGTGATGGAGATGCAATGATGACTTTCTTGTTTATTTAGTTTATCTTATAAGTATATGATTGTATTTTGAGATTTTGTTTGGATTATCTATTTTACAACTATTCTGAAAAAATATTAATCGGTTGCAATGAACAGGTTCTGATAAAATTAGGTAATAACTAGTGTAATACTGTTAAAGTTCTAATAAAATTCAAACATAATGTATAAGAAAAACATCATTTACTCAAACACACTTTTTTTGTACACAGATTCATCACCAAACAAAAAGTTCCTCCAAATATTTGTGTTGGTTCTTAAGGTTTAAACACTTACAGCTATTTGTTCAAAACTTCTAGATTTTTAACAATATGGATAAGTTATAGTGGCAACAACAGTTTCAATTCACTATCTACTATGAAAATTTTCCGTCTTCTTCTAATATATGTTGAACAAGAACTTTGAGAGGGATGTGATACTATGATGGTGTAGGGGAAACAATAGTGCAAGATGTTGTAGAAAGAATTCATTCTCTGTGACATGAATTAAAGTCCAAAACAAATTATTATGGCATGAAGATAACTTGACTTGTACATTTGGTAAATTGTAATGTGCGGTCCAATTCAGATCATACAAAAATCAACAAAATCATATATTAATTTTTAGACAAAAATATACGTCCTTTTTAAATGAAAGATGATATTTAACATAAAATTAAAATTAAAAAATGTTGTAGCATGTAAAATATAACGCTTTCCAAAATGGAGTTTTGTAAGTTTCCAAAAAGGCAATTTGTGCCTCTCTTAGAAACTTACAAAACTCCAAAATGGAAAGCGTTAATTTAATTTATGTTAAAGATCATCTTTCGTTTAGAAAGTACGTACATTTTTGTTTTAAAATCAATATATTAGTATGTTGATTGTCTTATGATCTTAATCGGACTGCACATTACAACTTACCAAATGTCCAAGTCAAGTTATCTTCATGCCATAGAAATTTGTTTTGGACTTTAATTCATGTCATAGAGAATGAATTATTTCTACAACATCTTGCAATATTGTTTCCCAACACCATCATAGTATCACATCTCTCTCAAAGTTCTTGTTCAACGTATTTCAGAAGAAGACGGAATATTCTCATAATAGATAGTGAATCGAAACTGCCATTGCCACTATAGCTTATTCATATTGTTAAAAGTCTAGAAATTTTGAACAAATATATGTAAGTGTTTAAACCTTAAGAACCAACACAAAGATATGGAGGAAAATTGTGTTTGGTGATAAAATTGTGTACAGAAAAAGTGTGTTTGAGTAAATGATGTTTTTCTTAACTCATTTTGTTTGAATTTTTTTTTAAAACTATAACATTATTACACTAGTTATTACCTAATTTATCAGAACCTCTTTATCTTGTTTAATGCAATCGATTATTTTTTTTTCAGAATAGTTATAAAATAGATAATCCAAACAAAATCCCAAAATAAAATCATATACTTATAAGAAAAATTAAATAAACAAGAAAGTCATAATTGCATCTCCATCACTTAAGCAAATCCATTATGTCACCCATAAGCTCCATCTTGAGCGACATAATTCTTATTTCTTCCAATTCTAACATTCCATTTTTCGAAGCTTTCAAAACTCACGTTGGATATTCGTGAGGTTGATTTTCCATGGTTTTGGTCCTTCTTTAACACATCCATACCTATGTATAATCAGAAGTCCAATTGTTTTCGCTGAAGATGTCCTACCGATAGTTTTTTTAGTAAAAGGAGCACATGTATGTTCAGCCACATACTTGTTGATTTTGAAATACGTTGAGCCTTCTAAACATTTTGTACGAACACTCCATTTCCACACTCTACCTTTCGGCGTATTAACCAGATTTTTTTTGTAATCAAAGTTATGCTTCATTGCGCATATTTCCAGAGTTGCCTTCAAATAGTTTTGCTTTAAAAAAGTTGTCCCTTCGTGACATCATCCAACACCGAGATCAAATAGGCCAAGTTGAAACAAACAGTCTCTCATGGAAACTTACAAAACTCCGTTTTGGGAAGCGTTACCTTTTGCATGCTATAGAATTTTTTTTCTTTTAATTTATGTTAAAGATCATCTTTCGTTTAAAAAATATGTACATTTTTGTTTTAAAATCAATATATTAGTATGTTGATTGTCTTATGATCTTAATCGGACCATGCATTACAACTTACCACATGTCCAAGTCAAGTTATCTTCATGCCATAGAAATTTGTTTTGGACTTTAATTCATGTCATAAAGAATGAATTCTTTCTACAACATCTTGAAATATTGTTTCTCTACGCCATCGTAGTATCACATCTCTCTCAAAGTTCTTGTTCAACATATTTCAGAAGAAGACGGAAAATTTTCATAATCAAAACTGCCATTGCCACTATAACTTATTCATATTGTTAAAAGTCTAGAAATTTTGAACAAATATATGTAAGACCTTAAGAACCAACACAAAGATTTGGAGGAAATTTGTGTTTGGTGATTAAATTGTGTACAAAAAAAGTGTGTTTGAGTAAATGATGTTTTTCTTAACCCATTTTGTTTGAAACATTTTTTAAAACTATAACATTATTACACTAGTTATTACCTAATTTTATCAGAACCTCTTTATCTTGGTCAATGCAATCGATTAATATTTTTTTTCAGAATAGTTATAAAATAGATAATCCAAACAAAATCCCAAAATAAAATCATATACTTATAAGAAAAACTAAATAAACAAGAAAGTCATCATTACACCTCCATCACTTAAACAAATCCATTACGTCGCATAAGCTCCATCTTGAGCGACGCAATTTTTATTTCTTCTAATTCTAACACTCCACTTTTCGAAGATTTCAAAACTCATGTTGGATATTTGGTGAGGCTGATTTCCCGTGGTTTTTGTTCTTCTTTAACACATTCATACCTATGTATAATCAGAAGTCCGATTGTTTTCGCTGAAGCTGTCCCACCGATAGTTTTTTTTATTTGAAGGATCACGTGTATGTTCAGCCACATACTTGTTGATTTTGAAATACGTTGAGCGCTCTAAACATTTTGTACGAACACTCCATTTGCACACTCTATCTTCCGGCGTATTAACCAGAATTTTTCTGTAGATTGCTTCACATCATAATCAAAGTTATGCTTCATTGCGCATATTTCCAGAGTTGCCTTCAAAGTTTTGCTTTAAAAAAGTTGTCCCTTCGTGACATCATCCAACACCGAGATCAAATAGGCCGAGTTGAAACAAACAGTCTCTCATGGAAACTTACAAAACTCCGTTTTGGGAAGCGGTACCTTTTGCATGCTATAGAATTTTTTTTCTTTTAATTTATGTTAAAGATCATCTTTCGTTTAAAAAATATGTACATTTTTGTTTTAAAATCAATATATTAGTATGTTGATTGTCTTATGATCTTAATCGGACCATGCATTACAACTTACCACATGTCCAAGTCAAGTTATCTTCATGCCATAGAAATTTGTTTTGGACTTTAATTCATGTCATAAAGAATGAATTCTTTCCATCATGTCAAGAGTAAGATGATTGACCGAGTGAGAGGAGTGCTCAGCGTGGTGGATTACTTGGTTGAAGTCACCATTGACCATCACAGAGTAGAGTTAAGGGACATACTATAATGTAAGTCGAGGATGTGACACCAGAGGTCTGATATTGTCTCTCTCAAGTTAGCAGCATAAACGGCTGTGTAGATGAATTGATGACCGCTTAGGAGGTCTGGTGGATGAGAGAAACAGATCGGGGTGCTTCCATATGAGAATGATTCTGCCATCAGGTTCAGAAGCATGGTTGGACAAAAAATTCCAAGATGGGCAAGTAATAGACATTATTTGGTTTAGGTTATGTTCTTTTATATGGGTTTCTAAGAGGTTTCCAAAAAGGGAATTGAAAGAGTTTAGCTGCTGCAAAAAATTCAAATGCTTATCCGGGTAATTTAAATCTCAGATATTCAAAAAAAAAAGAGTTAACTATCATTGGGGTGGAAGCAGGTTCTCTTCTGAGGGGTTCCCTCAGAAGGTAATGGATGATGAAAAGAAGAAGAAGAGGATTCCAAAGGTAAGTCGGAGTTTTTAGTAGGTATTGGAGAGCTGGATTTAAAAATAAGGATAAGCTATTTACTTGGAGATTTTTTCTCAGGTTCAGGTCGGGAATGGCTGAGAGGAGAATACTGTTTAAAGTCCATAGGAGAAGAGGGGTCCAAAAGGGGGTCAGATATGGTTTCGGGATGGGTGATGGGACATGTGGGGTGTGGGATGAGGTTTGGGGAAGGACAGCAGGCGGATGAGGCATGGAAGAAGGGGATTCCAAAGGTATAATGGCAGGAAGGGGCTCGGAGGATGAACCAGAAGTCGAAGGTGGAGGAATAAGAGAAGAAACAAGGATATAAGCTTTCTTCTTAGAAATTGGGACCCAAGTAGTGGAGATTAGGAGACAGTTTTTAACAACATATCCAATTTTCTTGCAATGGGAACAAGAAGGAGGGAGCCAGGGTAATCAATATCAACGATGACAATTTGGCCGTTTTTTCTTACATATTCCACAGCCTAACGTAATGGCTTTTTGGCTTCAACTTTGAGATGTCCAACCTTCAGACTGACTAAGGTTTTGGTGAAGTCAAACGTTTTTTTGGGTTCGCCTATTAAATTGGCAATGAGACCAAGCCCCTTGTTAGTTCTCAGGTCCAGAAGGACTCCTTTCAGGTGTACCCAAAGGGGAATGGAATCAATGGCTATAGTATTTTCAGAGTGATTTTGTTTCCACGGTTGGACATGGAACATTGAGTGGAACGAAGGAATGATTTTGTTTCCAAATTCTTCTCTCCAGACTTTTCCCCTGATGTAATCGTTGGGTAGTCTGATTAGCATTGAGTGGAACGAAGGAATGATATGGATTTTGAATTGTTTTCCTTGTCCCACATGTCAACATGGTTGACGACACTTTGCACTTGGCCAAAAGCAGGAGCTATACCCTACAATGAAATCTTTGTGTTCCTCTGCACCTTCTTGGAACACTGAATCAGGTATGAGTACTCTCGGCTTCCCTTAAGGGGACAAGAAAACTGGGGCTTCTCTCTTAAGACTTTTATCATTGTTTGCCTTTACTTATTGAGCCCATGAAGGACCAAGTTTTGCAAGGGCGAGAGAGTTACGGGTAGTAGCAGCTATTTAGGGAGGAATGAGCTGAGATGAGGGTTGAGACGGAGGGCAGTTATGAGGTGGTGGGAGGGCTTCTGAAGATTGAGGAGGTATAATTTGGCTAGAGGAACAATTTATAGGTGGAGGTGTAGTTATAGAGAGAGGGATACTCCGAGGAAAGGAAGGACCCTCGGGAGGCTTGGTAGAAGAAGTGGGGATAGATGAGGCAAGCCCAAGGGAAGGAGTAGATAGAATGCTGTCACCAATCGGGTGTCACCAGTCGGGTGAGCCTCAATAAATGTAGAGGCAGTTTCAACGTGCACAGTAACCGAGGGAGTGACTGTAGCAAAGGGAAGATCTCCAGATCTAAGGTTCACCAAGACACCAAAGGGTTCAGCAGATAAGGAATTTGGTTGAGTAAAACTGTCAACAACAGTATAGAGGGAGGCAAGGGTGGATAGATTATCGGATGGGAGCTCAAGCAGAGCAGTAAATGGAGGGGAGATAGAGAAGGGAGAGGAAGGGCGAGGGAGAGAAGGGAGAAGAGAAACCGGGAGGGGGGGAGGGGGAAGTGGGAGGAGGAGGGTCAGGAGGGCGGAACAGACTGCCTCTGGTGGAGGCTAAAGCTGGAATTGAGCTGGGATCGAGGATGTTGGAGAACCAGAGGTTCGCCATCTGTCTCAAATTTTTTTGGAGTACTCGAGAAATATAATTTAGTAATCTTTCTCCTTTCTCTTTATCGACAATAAAATTTCACTCTTTCTTCATACTCAATTTTCAGAGACCATAGGTATGTAACATATTTTAAGGAGGTTAGCAAAAAACAAATGAAGAAGTAAAAACTGTGAAAGAAAACGTGAAAGGAGATGGGGTGAATGAGAAGAAAAACGTGAAGGATGTGGAAAAGAAATGTCGTCAAAAACAATTTTTCTAAAAAACAAATTTTGAAAATAAATAAGGAAAATAAATAATTTGAAAAGGAAAAAGATATATTCTGTAAATTTTCTACACCTGATCTTAGCTTTTCGGAGATTTTGTTGACTACTTTGTATAATACTTCTACAGTTGTAGAACACATAGTTAACTGTAGAATTATACTTCGACTAAGTTGTAGAAAAATGAATAAATTTTAAAATATGATTTCATAACTTTGTAGAAGAGAAAAACTATAGATAAGTAATTCTATATATTTCGTAGAAAACATATAAAATAGTAAATAACATATTCTATAAATTAATAGATTTGTTGCATATACTTTCTATTAATTCGTAGAGCATTGGTAAAACATTCTTAAAAAAAATTTGTTTCCAAAAAATTAATATAGAATATATTTTTCTTTCTTTTTCAGTATTTACCCAAAATTTTAAGATTTTAAATATATTTTTTCAATTCTGAATTAATTAAAAAGAATATAAAATTTTAAAAGTGATAAAACTTAAAAAAGTATTAAAGGGATAATATTATAGTTTTTTTTATCCTATAAATACAATTGCCCCAATTATTCAATTTGGTCTAACTCATTTTGATGCTTGATGATTGACTAATAAAATTATAATGGTTTGAGAAGCATTAATTAATTTTATGAGTCAATTTGCAAGTTTCCAAAAAAGGGTTTTACTCCATCGCAGATTTGTGTGATTCGTCCTAACTCTCAAGGTATCTATCACTTGAAGAGTGTTACCGGAAACAAAATCGTGCGAGTTCTGAAATCCCACGGCTTTTATTTAACCCTGATCATATCTGTTATCTATATGCTGTAAAAACATATATATAGGAGGAAACTTAAATACTTTTCATTGTATTGTTGTTGTTGAAAAAAGGTCTTGCTCCTGAGAATCCTGAGGATCTATATCACTTGATCAAGAAAGCAGTTGCTATCCGCAAGCACTTGGAGATGAACATGAAAGACAAAGATTCCAAATTTAGATTGATTCTTTTGGAGAACAAGATCCACCATCTTGCTCGTTATTTACAAGAAGACCAAGAAGCTTTCATCAGCTGGTTTTGCTTTTTTACAAAAAGATCACATTTGATCTCGTTCACCAAAGAGTTGCAAGAATATACACTTATGTACAACAAATCAGAAAAGTATTGGTTGCCGATTAGGCCAAGACTCGATCTTTTGGAAGTAATAGACAGGCACTAAACCATCAATGCCTTCAGTCAAAATCACCTTGTTGTCTGAGATGTAAAACGCAATCCCATCTGAATAGAGGAAAAATGATATATATTGAATCTTTGGAGGGTTATAGCAACATTGTTAAAAACAAGATTCTCGTTACCTTCAAGAGCTTTCTTGATGTCGAGGAAGATTACAACATTAACATTCCTTCTCATACCTTTAGCCAAATCATGTCAAAATTTGGAATCAGATACAAATGCGCAATATGCAATAATGCAGGAACAACAACGACAGGATCAAAAAAATTACCACTTATCACTTCACCATCTGTCGGCAAGCCACAAGAGAAGTGAACATGGAGTCTATTTATACGCTTTAAGCCAGATGCTAAGATTGATTCCAGATTCTTCCTATAAGTTCCATGTTAGCATACTGCTATGACAGAAAATTCAAATGAATATGAAAAAAATTATGCGATACAGAAGAGGAGTCAGAAGTATGTGCTTTTACTTGGAGCTTCTTCCGGTGACAAGATTGGTTTAAGTAACTTTCCGGATTCGACCCTCTGCACAGAAAGACATAAGAAACCATATTGTTCAAAACTGGAAGAAACAAATCACCGCAAATAGAAGATCAAATGGTCTCAAAAGACACATCTTCTGCAAATAAATTGCAAAGTCTCAACTTTCAACACAACATATCAAAGATCCTGAGAAAAACGACCAAAATGCTCTGAGGAATGAGGATTTGTACCGTGGTGATCGAGTGGCCTTGATTTGCGCGGATCAAGAGCTCTGCATTCTCTTCTATGAGGCTAAAACGTTGTTTATTGTCCCTTCTCACTGCCTGCAACAGTTACTACAAATCACTTAAAATGCTCGTAGACAAAAACAAAATGAAGAAAGTGAAACTAAACCTCTCTGATTTCATCAACTGTGTGTGACTTCAACTGAATGTTTGAAGATGTTTTCAAACTCAGCTTAAGCAAATCTTCAACTTTAACAAAACCATCACCTCGCATGTTCAAGCTCAGCTCAGTAGCCATATGTCGCAAGATTCTCGTCCTTATATTATCAATCCATTCAAAGAGAATCAAAACTGAGCTAAAAATCTCTATACAAATCTCTGAGTTCGATATGATAATGATCACACTTACAAAAGTCTTCCCAGCGAATCGATTCTATCTTTTCTCCCTCCATGATCCTCTCGATTGTCCTCCCTCTCATCTCCTCTTCCTCTACCATCAAAAACCAATTACTAAATCGACACCAAAGCTCACACTAATCAAAAGAGGACTTGTTGACTTTTCGAGTAGTGTGAAAACGAGAGTCACCTTTTGCTGGATTGAGAACGTAGGTTTGGTGAAAGAATCGAGACTCGAATCATCCATGAAAGCGGAAACAGGAGATAATTTCGGGAAGATGAAGTCGAAGACGATAGAAACGCTTTAACGGCTCACTCCATCGATCGGAGTTTCGTTTCGTGAAAAAATAACAATCGCCGGCGAGGATAGTCGTGTTACAGCGACGGCTAGAGAATTCCGATGGCGGTTTCGGGAAAGGGAAGAGTGTTGACCGAATATCAACAAGGAAAGTCAGATTGGGGAAGACGAAAGAGTCCCCAGTAATATGAGCGAAATTTTTCACCCGCTAACAAAAAGAACTAATGTTCATATTAAAGCCCATGACTAACTTATCGGGCCTAAGCCCAATATTGTCGAAGTTCAGATAATGTTACATCATATGGATTTAATTGGACATTTCACAATGAAATCATTTTGTTTTTTCTGATTAAAATATAGATAATTGTGAATAGTCCAATTAAACATGTGTATATTTTGTTCAGCTTTGATTAGAGATGTCAAACGGGTCAACTTGCATCCAATTAACCCAACCTAATGTGGTTTTAATTTTTTTGGGTTTGGCGAACTGGTCCATCATGAGTTGCGGTTCCAAATTGATATGTCCAAACTCGATTTGTCTATACTCTACAGTTTTGCGGGCTGACCCGCGAGTTCATACTTATCTTCTTCATTTCAAAGTTTTTATGGCATTTAAATTTATAGAACCAGAAAATCTGCAAGAAGAGAATAAGGTTTTGCTCGTAACTGAATCACAATATGCATAAGAAACAAGACTCGATGAACAAATAAACAAATAAACAAATAAACAAATAAACAAATTCGATAAACCTCTTATACAAAACTCCTAGCTCAAGGATGCCATAAGATTTGAAAAATCAATTAAACTGTAAGAATAGACACTTAGTTTTGAAAAGCAAATAAATTAATTACAAATAATGATACACATCAAAATTTGTATTTTAAGCTACAGAACCATCAAGATACAAGCAACAAGACATTCACATATAAAATCAAAGAAAAATAGATGAGCAAAGCTTATTTGTTAATCCAGCGTACAAACTAATGTGATTCTCAAGCAAATCTATTTATTGTCAATTCAAGATTTAAGCAATACTAAATTACCTTTTGCCTCGCTGCGGACAAAATAAAAACCATGTCCATGATATAGTCGATGAGCAAAACTAACATTTGACCAATCTCATTTTTTCCCTTTTTTAAAATCCTATAAGAAGAATACATATGAATTTTAAAAAAAAACAAACTTATGACATTAAACTGAAATTAAAACCCTAAAAAAAATATTAGTAATTTTTGGTTTGAAAGACAACGACCAGATTTTCTCCCAAATTTAAAAATCCAATCACAGAATCTGAATCAAATCGAATATAAAACACATACCAGTTTGATGATTCTTTGATCTCGTTGAGATAAAGTTATCACAAAGCCCAATAGCTGAATTGTATGATTCCACTAGGTTTCTATTAACTTCATGAAATTACTATTTCAAAATCCACCAATTAAAGATGACAAAATTTTTTACTTTTTGAGTTTTACAAAAAAGCATCAAATTCTGCGGATTGAACCGCAAACCCGCGGATCCGCTCTGATCCAACCCAAAAAATCCAAATTTCATGCGGGTTTGGACCACAAAACCCATATTTTATTTGGACAAATTTTATGAAACCTAAGTCCGCACCACTGTGGTTCTACTTGGGTTGGGTCGAATCTGCAGGTTAATTTGACACTTCTAACTTTAACCAAAACATTAGATGAATAATCTTATTGTTGTGTATATGTGCTTTAACAATGCTATATCCAAATTTGTTGCACAAATATTTCAAAGTCAAAAAAATGATTCGACTCATATTTGAGGAAAAAAACTCATTCATCAAAATATAAAATTATAGGTTTAACATTTTGTTATAATATATATATATATATATATATATATATATATATTGGTAACTTAGATTTAATAATGACTGTTTTGGTAATGTATAGTTTCAGTTTTCATACAATTCGCGAATCTTCAGATTCGATTCGTAAACAAATAGCTAAAAATATTTAAAATCACAAAAAAAAAAAAAATCTCAGAAAATTTAAAAATTTAAAGAAAATGAAAGTCGAAAACTTATATAAATATTATTCATATGTTTTAAAATTGTATATGAAAATGGATCAAAATTGAATCAAGATATTTTTTAGTCAAAATACCTATGTACAAATTGTTTCAAAAATCTTATTTTTTCGAAGTGGATTGGTCAAGTCTCGAATTAGATTTTGGATCTCGGATATTTTTCTGAACCGTAAGTCCTTAACTATATTTTTTAATATATATGAGAGAAGATACAAACTTTAGAGTAACAATTATTTAAAAATTATTGAAGAAGGTGTTCAGTTGAGTTGAGCTTGAGCATGTAAATTAAATAGGAAAATTATTAGTTTACCTACGCTGTACTTTGTTTGGGTCTCAATACAGTTTGTTTAGGGACACGCGTGTGGAGAGTCAGAGCATGACAGCATGTGGATGCTCAAATTGCAGAGAAGATTAAATTCTATTTTTTTTCAATACTACTATATTAAAATAAACATAACTTCACAATTTGATGGACATCATCATAATGTTCTGTTTCCTCTGTAAACTTTTGAGAAATATAATTTCTTTCACAACAGTTGTTGTTTTTGTCTGAACTTTTAATTACGTCATTAGGTACCTAAACCTCGTTCTCTACTTTAATAAATTACAAGACCCGAGACAAATAATTACTAGCAGCTTGTGGTGTATCGATGGTATATCTTATCTATATTGAAGCTAGCCTTGTCGTCTATTTCAGCATGCAACAAAGTTTTCTACAGTTCTGGCTTCGTCACTATATCTATGTTGTTAAGTTGTTTCTATGAAGTAGCTGATGTTTTTGGATGAAGCTCTTGCCACTTACCTTCAAGTTCAACGTGGGCTCATTATGATATAGTTTTAGGTAAAGTGCATATGTCACATTTTAGAGTACTGTATAATTTGATGTCTCTTGGTTTAAGTTGTAAAGCACAACCTTGTTATTTGATCCCACTATTGTACAGCATGCATGCTGAAAAAGAGTCAGTCTTTCTTATTTATACCAGTTTTGTTTTCTATTGCATACATGGATATTGAGTTGTTGAGAAACGAAACCGATAAACCTTAGTCGAAATTCAACTCACCAATTGTTTTTTTTTTCTTTTCTGACTTAGAAATCAGAAGTCACCTATATACTAACATTTTCATATAACTCGATTTATCATATCGCTGAGTATTAAATGTATAAGCAATGATTATTCTATAACTTCAGTTCTAATGCTACACTTTTTGGACGTATCTACTACATCATTTGGTTATTATATTAAAACGAAGTTAAAGTATGAAAATATTAGTATATATGTTCCGTAAGAGACAAGACCTACGGCACTTAATCATCATTAGAGCCATAGGTTAACATTAATTAGATACAGGTACAATACAGGTCCGGATGATGAGTGTATTGAGTTGTGCCGAAGTCAAGTGGCGGTTTTGTACAATTTTTATTTGTCATTTATTTCAAATTATTTCTAATCATCAATTTATCGCCATACGACTCTCTTCTTTGCTAATGAAGCATATTCTTGAAAAAAAAAAAAAACTGAAGGAAATAATAAGATTCTTTTCTATTACAATTTGAACCATGTTGTGAAATAATGCTCTATCATGATCTCAAATCAAAATACAACAATGCTCTAACATGATTTCAAATCAGAATTTAATATTCGAAGTTCAAGATGATAGATATTTACAATAAAAAAATATATCACTATAGTAAACTAGTACTCAAACAGAAGATGAGCTTTTTAAAATTATGTTGTTAAAGTGACTAAATAATCTTAATGATTTCGAAATATTATTATAATTTATACATACCACAGGAATGCTTCTGGGCTTATATAAAAAAATATATAAATGTATATAAGAAACAATAAAAAATATATAAGAAAAATAAAAAATATATATTTACCTCAATTTTTTATTGTTTCTTGTTTTGCCTAATTTCATCGCGAACTTACACCACTTTGTTATCGACAAACAATATATCATTTATTCGCCTACATAATGATTTAATTTTATTTTATAGATTTTTTTCATACGTGCAAATCCTTACAGTACATATGTCGTTTAGATATTATGGGCAATGCCTTCTCAATTCTCATAGTAGTTTATTAAAAATTCACATTATAAACTTAATTAGATAATTCACATATACATTAGATCACCAATATATGCCCATGTACTTTTTTAGACATGCATATGTAAATTATGTATCCATCTGAATAGGATGACATAAAGAAGACCCAGCTTGGACCATTATTTATAATTTAGCAATTATATAAATTTTTTCAGTCTCGTTGGATTTAATGTCGGTTCATATATATTATAATAACTGATGATAATGTGGATGAAAGGGAAAGTTTTAGTGAAGTACATACATTACATGAATAAGAAAACATGATTAGTATTAATAAATATTAGAATTTCTTGTATTGGATTAGAGAAGCCGTTGACTTTTAGGAAAACACTGGAATTTATAAAATATCTAATCATAACTATAACTAATTCCTATCTAATCTAACCCGCAAGGAGTAGCTAGATAGATGATATAGTAGCAAACGTCAACATCATCAGCTTACGAGTTACGACCAAACGCAAGAGACCATCTTACTTCAACGTAAGCACATATAGATTATTCCCGTCGGCCATGTCTTTGTTGTATAGAATAAGCATAGCAACGAATTTCGAAAAGAAAAAAAAAGGATTGTTGAAGATAGTATACGTAGTTATCAAATAAACGTAGTTATCAAATAAACGTAGTTATCAATGAAATTAAAAATGCGTAAACGTACGAGGAATACAACAAAATGCACTTCGAGTGATCATGCATGTTAGTGTATTAGTTGTTTTATGGAGTATATTTGGCATTTGGTATCGTGGTAAATAGTACATATACACTAGATTTCATACATTCTCTTAATACACGATTCAAATCAGGCATGACTACTAGTACTCAGCTAGATGGTTGTGAAGTTGTTCGTTTGTGTGTCTAGATGCAGAATTCATATGCCTTATATGCATATATTGTTAATATACAACTATTTTCACCCAACTATATCCGAACTAATCAAACGACAAAACATACAATATATGTTTCCTCGGAAAATACGTACTACTCCAAAAATTTAGTGTGGTAATACTGCGGGACTTAAGGAATCATGGAAAATAGAATCGTAGAATCTAAGTTTAAAAGTGTTTCGACAAGATTATGTGATTGTTAACAAGCAATAAAACCGTGCAATTAGACAAATATTAGTCAAAGATATGGAGTGTAATTCTTCGGTTTAGAGGAGGACAGATTTGGATCATTGCTTGTAAGTTAATTAAAAGAGTAGAGTTTTAAACAAAGGAAAACACAATAAAAGAGTGGCTAAAGAGGCATGAGATGTTTGTAATTCTTGCTCGCAATAGCCAATGAATACTCCCACGCGTCTCTGTTTTACACACACCCATCACTTGTTTCTTCCTCGTTCTCCAATATTACGCTTCCCAGGCCTTGACACGTGGCATCAACATTTCATATGCGTTTAAAACGCAAGTTATTTATTCCCTTTTTTGCCATTTGTATGATCTATCAATAAAATAGATTCAGTTTGTCCTCTCAAATTTTAAATGATGGAACCCATTAAAATACAAAACCAAAAAAAAATTTTTGGAACTTAAAATGTTTCCCAAAAATACAAAAAAAAATAAAAAGGTTTAATCTTTGGACTGTAATATACTATGTACCTGAAAATAGTGATGTTTTTTTGCTTTTGTTATTTTCTAGGTTATATTCACGTCTATAGACAAAATGTTTAAATTCAGAGGCAAAAACTCTCACTGACTAATCATGTAACTGCGTTTTTCTTAATAAAATTTGTAAATACACACAATTTCATGATTTATTTCTCCCTATTCCTCCCTATTTCTCCTAAACCCTCTCCAAACCCAAGACCGAGAAGCGCAGAAGTAGTGACGCATTAGAAGTCGACAACCTCCATTGAAGTGAAGCTCTTAAGCCAAAAAGAGACCGAGAAAATAAGAAATCGAGAAAGAGAGAGAGATTTATAGTGTGGTGCATCGTTACAAAAAAAAAAAAAAAAACCAAAACATAAACAAAATCCGTACGCCAAAAAAACACAGATTTTTGTTGTTTTTTTTGGGTTTTTGTCTCTTTTCCGTGCGATGACAGAACTCAACTTCCTCCCATTACTCTCCGATCGTCTCTCCACAACGACGGCGACGTCACCGTCTTTCTCCTCACATTCTCTTCTCCCTTTCACAAGACGACGAAGAAGACAACATCCAAACCAACCCGTCTCCGTACGCATGGAGCAGTCACGACGGAAAGACAAAATCGTCGTCATCTTAGGAGCAACCGGCGCCGGAAAATCACGTCTCTCAGTCGATCTCGCCACTCGTTTCCCTTCGGAGATCATAAACTCCGACAAAATCCAAGTCTACGAAGGATTAGAGATCACAACGAATCAGATTACGATCCCGGACCGTCGCGGCGTTCCTCACCACCTACTCGGTTACCTCCGTCCCGAAGACGGCGAACTCTCCGCCGGAGATTTCCGTATCGCCGCTTCAAACGCCGTTTCCGATATAACCTCCCGTAAAAAGGTCCCGATTATCGCCGGCGGATCTAACTCCTTCGTACACGCACTCCTCGCCGAGAGATTCGACCCAAAGTCCGATCCTTTCGCTTCCGGGTCGTCGGATTCTTCATCAATCTGCCGTGATTTGCGTTACGATTGCTGTCTCCTCTGGGTAGATGTGTCGGAGAGTGTGCTTTTCGAGTATCTTCTGAAACGGGTCGACGAGATGATGGATTCGGGTATGTTCGAGGAGCTATCCGGGTTTTACGACGCGGTTAAATCGGGTTTACCCCGGTTCGGTATACGGAGAGCTATAGGCGTCCCGGAGTTCGACGGTTACTTTAAAATGTACCCACCGGAGAACAAGAAAGGAAAGTGGGACCCAGCGAAGAAGGCGGCGTACGATAAGGCGGTGGAGGATATCAAGGAGAACACGTTGAGGTTAGCGAAGAGACAAATAGGGAAGATTGAGAAGCTGAGAGACGCGGGGTGGGAGATTAAGAGGGTCGATGCGACGGCGTCGTTTAGAGCGGTTATGATGAGTTCGCCGGAGAAGAGAAGAGAGTGGAGAGAGATTTGGGAGGAGCAAGTTTTGGAGCCAAGCGTAAAGATTGTGAATCAGCTGTTGGTGGATGATTAGGTTATTTTTCCAGCCATTTTCCAGCTCATTTTTTTTTTGTGTTTTCAATTAACAAAAACAACATTTTTTTGGTCATTTATAAGGAAAAAAAAACGGGTTCGTTAAAAGATTTAGAAAAAAAAGGATAAATTTTTTTGGGTTTTTCTTGCTAAACATATAATACATAGGATCTCCACCATTTTTGGTACTCAAAACCTCCGATTTATCTGAAGTGATGGGAGAAAAAAAAGTTAAAAAAGTCCCATGTGAAGAAAGAAAAGAAAGTTTTGATCTATAGGGAAAAACAATTAGGAATTTGACAGCTTGTAATTGTTCCTAGTCCTGCACAAATGTGTGTGTGAGAGTAAGAAATGCGTATAGAGAAGCAACGGCATGGAGAGAGGAGCTCAAGTTGTTGCTTGTTTAGCGTAAGAACAAAATAAACCTTTTTGTTGTATTTTTTGTTTTTCTTTGGGGGGATTATTGGAAAATCTCTTTCTTTTATTCTCTCTTCTTTAAGTTTTTTTTTTTGGAAAAAGTCGAGGGTCCCTAAAACATTCGGCTCTCTATGCGTCATCATTTCGTTTAATGTTTTTTATTTTCTTGCTTACAACTAACTAGATCGTGAAAGGAAACGAAAAATTGATTTTGCAAAGAAAATGTGTATGAGCTTTTTCATATTTCTGCACTTCATAGGTCTAGTCAAACTAAATGATGCAACTAGAATCAAGGTGGAGCAAAAAGACATACTAATTTCTCATGCTTAGACTCGGAAACAGAAATCTTAAAAGATGTAGTACAACAAAATAGAAATAATATCATTACAAAACACAAACAATTCATTTTTGCTGTGACAAATCTCATATATTGATTATTAAGGAAGAGAATGGTCTTTAATTCTCCAAGGAGTCAGTCCGGAATCGAGTAACAAACAGTCAAACATGGGAAAAAAAGGTAAACCTCTTACCCTTACACTACGCACAAAGAAATGAACACAAAATATCTTTACAATGTGGAATCAGCATAATGGAAAATGAGAACATTTTTTTTGCAAAATAGACGGAAACGTTAGCCAATCTTCTTGATCATCTAACATTTTGCAACAATTCATGAAAAAAAATTAGCCAAGTTTTGTGTATAAATAAGTATAACTTTTTGCAACCAAAATTTTGCAACCTGAGCCGCAAGGAGTTATCAGATTCAGACAGGCCACGAACTTACTTGAAGTCAGAGATGACAACTATTATTAATCCGAACGAAATCCTCCAAATCTATAAAGACAATCTTAGATAGATCTTATTCGACTAATTTCTAATGATCTCTGTAATGATTTGTTTGGACTTTCTAGCTCCCCTTTTTGGTCGAAGTTATTATAATAGTATTTTAACTTCAACTAAATCTTCATCATAATACACACAACGAGCGGATGGATTCTTATACACCTTCCACACGACATTATGTTCCACATCTACTTAGCCGTGGATCTAAGCTCTCGTCACAAGATATTGATTCTTGAGTTTTAAGTGCATGCACCACGTTACGATTTTAAGAAAAACGATAATTGTTTATAATATTACTTGGGACAAATATGGAACATAGTTTTAGAAAACTCATTGTTTGTGACCACGCGTGGCACGGTTTTAAGACCAAGAAGCTAAATTTGTGTTATCTTTGGATTCGTTTCTACTGTGTGTTATTATTGTAAAACACTCCGTGCAATATATTTGGTCGCTTAAACTTTGGTCCGACCGTTGTATCCCTTAAAGAGTTAAAGGCCTAGTATCCCTGATGAGTTTTCGGACATTTCAACAAAACTTAGACTGCTATATTATTTCCAATACAAATTTTTGAAATTACAAAGTATATTTCATGCAATAAATTTCAATCCTTCCATCGATCTCTATCACTCATTAATATATATATTTTCTCGTTGTTATCCATTGTTCTTTGGAATTATGTAAAAGCGTCATCATTTGTGATGGTACTTGATCAAAAAACAAGACAATAATATTGGCACGAAAACTGTACTGCAGAGGTTGCTATCAAAACTTTTTACCATTGATATAGGTTTGGTCAACAACACTTTTATATACAATTATTTCTTTCATTCTAATCCAAGAAAATGAAATATTTACCTAGCTAACTCATAGACATCTCCTTTCATGTTCTATTGGATGTTAGATTGTGTATTGCCCGTAGTGTAAATTTAGAGTAAGGGGTCCCATAGTCGCATGTATTGGTTTTATATTTCAATTGGCTTACGTACTATGCCAAATACTTACTATCTTTTTTTTTTTTTCCTTATTGACATGCTAGTTACTCCTATCCATATTTTGGAAGTGTAATCTTTTTTATCTTCTTAAAACCCGGACATATATACATATTAGTAGATACTAACTTAACACTTAACTCATATATACTCCACTTTTTGAATTAAAATAAAATAACCAATATGGTATGTCTTGAGTGTAATAATTTGTAAGAAAGTAAAATGTCCATTTTATCATAATTTTGATCATACTTAACCCCCCTGAGACAACTAGGAGTAGCTTGAAATTGGTTTCTTTCGAAGCATTGTAGCAACAGAAGGCTGAATCCATTAGGCTGTCTCTATCAGACATAATAGCACATCTTTCTGATCGATTTAAATGCATGTGGGAGAATGAGAACTTGTCTTCTTCTCTAGGAGTTTATTTAAAATTAGCTTTATGTACCTTGTCTTTGATGATTCGTATTCCGTGGGAGGACACAAAGTTTTGTGCATTATTTTATCGTTGGTTTATAATTTTATTAAAAAAAATATCATCACCTCGTAACAAAACCTAAATTTACCTAAATATTTTTTACGGCTAATTGTATTCATTGATATCAAATCGAATATACAAAATCATTATACATCAAATTCGAAAAAAAGTATAACATAAACAATTATATGTACCATATACGACGGTATAACAAAAATATATGAATACTAATATAAAGTTAAGAAGATTTTTTTTGCTGGAACCAAGGTGGCCTAGTGGTTAAAAATGGTCGTATTTTGGGATCTCCACGATTTAAAGCCAGATCTACAACACCATAAGTTTTATTTTTGGTAATATAAGAAAACGAAACAAGAAAAATTCTTGAAACACACAAGAAGTAATATTATATCGTAGAAATATAAGGTTTGATGACACAGACTGGTTTGCTTGGTCTCGCCTGTTAACTTCCATAATCCTATTTGCATCTCCCCTGGTTGGAAAGGAAGCTTCTCTTAATCTCCAAATTGTCTAAATGCATGCAAATGACAGCTTTACATCAAATGGAAATATAACTATCATTTTCTATCAGATTATTCGGTCTTTGTTCATATACAATAATATAAGGGTCTACGATCAAAGTATACGGACTTCGTACAATTGGATTTTTGATAAGTCAAAAAATTTAAAAGTCAAACCATTTTGTCAAAAGATAAAATAACTAAAAGTCAAACTCTTAACACATGCCATAACTAAAACAAATAATTATGGCATGCACAAGCGTATGGTAGTGACATGCGACTTATGGTCGAAATGTCTTGTATACAAGGGTGTGTATCTTCATTACAATAAAATCGAAATCTTCAATTTTGTGTTCCATGGGCCTGCGTGAAGCAAAAGATAAAAGAAAGAAGTTTATTGGAAATAGGTACGACTACATTGTAGGGAGAAATGATTGTATAGACATTGGGAATCCCAATTTGGACTGCATCGGTTTTATTTTTTTTCATGCATCCCACACTATTTATTCTTAGTTTTTTGGCTCTCTTCCGTATACAATTTGATTAATTTTAATCGCTACACAACTAGAAGTCTAAAACAATATTTACGTAATTTCACATAGGATCACATAGCAACGTATAGTGTGAAATTTTGGTAGAACATATGTGCAGATAAGTTTAGTGTTTAATGGGTTATTTAGATACACTAAATACACGACAATTACCTTATCGCTTTACCAGGCTCATGCCCATTAGTTGTTGGTCTTCATTGACCGTCCAATTGTCCTTTTTCTTCTTTTTGTCGTCTTGAATAACTATGCGGCACTTTGTTAAAAACAGACACAACTATGATCATATGTGTGAGATTCCGCTCCTTTCTTCTCTTTCGGGAACTACACGGACCGGCTATCAAATCTATGAGATTTCGAATCCGCATTTCATCTGAATTGGTTATCAGCTCTGAACGTTCTTAATCGTCTTTACCAGTGAGTCCAACGTCTTTTCTAAGTTTGTGGGCCTAACGTCCTTTCTCTAGGCCCGTTGGTGTATCCCTGTCTAACGGTCGGGAGTCGTTTGGTTCGGAAGGCTCGTAAGACTTGTTTACTATCCTTGTAATCACCATGTGATCTTTCTCCGTGCTTTTGTCCTCACTCATACGGTACCATAAACTATTTCCCGATATGTCACCCATTCTGAGACTATTCCAGCTTAAGCACGTTTAACTCTGGAATTCTCTCAAGACACTTGACCGAAAAAAATAAATGTATTTTAATAACATAAATAACCAAATCAATTCTTATAAATCTTTTTTCATATATACTAGAAAGATGTTACAATATGTTTCAATTGACAAAAGAGCAATGTTGTTGCTTGAAGCAAGTAAAAATTTTTTAACCAAAAAGAAAATTATAATAACAATGAAAATGTAAATAAATGTAAGTGACAACGAATAAACAAATTAACAAAAAAAAACTAAGAGTAGATCCGAGTATTGTAATAAGTAAAGCCAAGATTATCGGAAACTGAATCTCACATGACTTAATCAAGTACTTATATGATTTTATTTCCCTAAGCACACTAATTTGCTTCCATCAAATATAGCAAGGCCTAAACAAGCACACTTAAATCCAAATGTTACATGATGCTATATTGCATGTGCGGTATCTTTGCACATGATCCTATTTTCACGATGCCTCAGCTGTTCTGTTCTAACATATACAGTATAATTCCAAGTTTTGGCTCGCGACTTGTCGCTCTTTGCTTTGGAATTTCAATCTGTACAGTTGTTTTACGTGATGCTTTGGCTCGTGTTTGGGCTTCCCACTACTGGTAAAGTTGTAATAGCATATGTCCTATTTTTCTTTCTAACCCATTAAAAAGGAAAGAGAATAGGACCCATGTGTAATATTCAACAGAAATTATTGTGTACAACAGCTGAATTTATTATAATGTCATGTAACATATATTAATTGAGTATTTGTTGGAATTAATTAAAACGAAAAATTATTACCTTTTTAAAAAATAATTTTAATAACTTTTTTTTTACATTTTAGTAACTTACATCCTTGAGATATTTATGAAGCTGAAGAAAAATATGTTATAAGAAAAACACAACTATTCAAATTTTAATGTGTGATACTACGCATGTAGTAAAAAATGAATCCATGCAAGAAGATAAAATTCAAAATAATTACTATGAATAAATCCTTGGCGAGATATATGTACTCTTGATGTTGCTTTGAGATGAATTAGATCTCGTAAATCTTTGTGCCTAATTCATTTTCTATTCCATAGATCTTTCATATGGTGGTGAGAGAGCTTGTTTGCACAGTTTGAATCTGATTTTGTGAGATATTAAATTTGAAATACGTACATACTCCACACAAAATTACAAATGATCTATCTTTTTTTTTCCTCTGACAAATGATCTATCTTTTGAAATGCTTTGAGTGGTTTAACCTTTTTTAGGAATCTTTAGATGCTTCTCTTTTAACCTTATTATTTCGCAACGACTATTTTGGTTTGTTATTTTATTTGTACAAAAAGACGTTTGACTTTTGATAAACAATTAGGGTTTTATACAAGTCCCTTCAATTTTCATGGCGCAGCCGCACGTACACATTAATATAAATATCAAATATTATATCATTATTTTGTAAGTATCATTAATAATTAATTATTGCGTGGACATAAACCAATATATTGTATATATCTTTGTAGTTAGGAAATTGTCTGGAACTACCCTACTTGTTACAATTATCATTCAACATACCTTGGTTTTGGTTTTTATAAAATGTAAAGACAAGGCAGTAAGCTATTTCAAATTCATAATTCTCTGGCAGGTTTTGTCTTCAATATATGCACATGACAAGACGGAGTCTATATTTTATGTGTAAGTACTTAAAAATAAATAAAGATATATAAATAGCTCAATCGGCCTGGATAGAGCAAAAGTCAAATTCTGTCTTAAGATATTAGATTCCCCATTTGAACTAGAAAAATCCTCTGTTGTTTTGTTTATTCTTCACAAATAATATAGTATATATGTATATAATAATTTGTAGATTAATGGTTTCAGCTGCCTGTAAGTGGGATTAATCAAAAGAGGCTGATAATTTTGAACATTTTGTAAATTTTCATATTACGGAAAAGGAGAAGTGAAGCCGTTTCAACCATCTGCAGCCAACCTTGCATATTCACAGCTAGTAATATTCAAAATTCAAAGATGAACGAAAACAACGAACTCTCTATCTAAAGAATATTACAAATTCGTTTTAGATACTATCGAACATTTTTGAAATGATCACTACAATTTACAATGCATTAAACCATTTGCAATAAAAATTGAGGTTGTAGAGAATTACAAAGGGTAGATACAGATTACAGAAAACATAAGAAAATATATAATATTGAAAGTTTTAGAAAATATTTAATTTTACGGAACTTAAGAAAAAAGGCCATGATTTTTTACAAAAACTAAATCATCGATAATAAGTAGGATATACCTGAGTGATATCATGTTACTATTCAAAGACAAAGACCGTGTTTAATCGTATCTAAAGTCAATGGTCAGAATCGTTGGCTGCTATATAATACAGTTTGTTTTAATTATACTTACACGCATATATATAGTTCTACATATAATCTTTTTAAAGATGTCTTGTCCGAATACACAAATCAACAAGAACTACATTTATCTTCATTTATCTTTGCTTCTCCATCTCTAGTTCTCTATTTACACATTCTCTTGATATTAATCACCATGATTCCGTCAAGAAGTCATGATATCAACGTCTCACGTCCTCCGTCGCTAAAACTCGCCGGAGAATCCCACTCCATCAAGAAAACGACGACGTGTAACGTCGTGAAGCATCCACGGCGACATGGACGGACAGCTCCAGTAATCATATACGCGCACTCTCCGAAGGTGATCCACACGCGCGCCGAAAACTTCATGGCTTTGGTTCAGCAGCTTACCGGTCTCGAGGAGATCATTAGACGGAACCCTAACGACGTTAGCGAATCTTCCTCTGTAGTAACGGAAGAGGTCAACGTCGGTGATGATGACACGAGTCAGGAGAGACAACAACGACGAAACTTAGCTGATATTCCATTGTTCACGCCAAGCTCGATGACCTTGTTTGGTTCTCCAACTCAACTTCTTTATCTGTCACCAAACCGGACCGATCTGGTTTAACAAGTTCATAAAAGACTCCCCAATGTATACTTTTATAGTTTCGTTTCATATAAGCTCAATTATGCGTTTATTTGTTTGTTCGTTTGTTCATCCGTTCTTAAGTTGTTTCACTAATTAGTCGTAAATTATTTGGTGTAAATGATACTTAATTTCTCTATTTGGTTGATTTGAAGCGAACCAGGTTTGGAGTTTAAAAGAAAATTAACATAAAAAGAACCGTATATAATAGAATTAGGATGTTCAAGATCAAATTACAACACCATAATTAATGTACAAGTTAAAATATGTTGAACTTTTCATATTTAACATAGTTTGAGAGAGTCAACACGTGGTGTGATAAAAATTTCACTTTAACCCCCTAAAATTTCATTCTAATGTGTGACATTCATATAGCAAAATTTTAGTAACATAAAATTTCTGTAATATGAATATTTTTCGTTTTCCTTTTTGCAAAGTTATGACGTATGAGAATGGTCGATAATTGTAATATGTTCACGTCAAGTCATATTTTTCATCTAAAATTAATACCTCAACATGTTAGGGCATTTCCAATGTATAGTTTCTAGTAACTCCAAAATAGAGTTGTGTTTTACTCCAATATAAACTTCATTTTTTTTTTAAATGAAGTCATGATAAAAAAATGGAGAAACTCTATTTTGTGCTCCATATTTGGAGTAACTTCAATTTTTACTCCATTTTAGAGTAAGATATGGAGTAGGATTGGAAAAAATGTTACTCCAAACTCTATTTTATAATAAAATTTGGAATAAAATTGGAGATGATCTTAGATGAGACAAAAATTACTTGTCTTCAAAACTCTTCATATATTTTGGGATAATTTGGGCCTTGTTGTTGAGGAGACAAACTCAATATATTTTTATGTTCGTTATAGATTTAGGGCCCGTTTCATAAAATCTACCACACCAGCATTTAATTAGTTTTTTTTTTTTTTGTTTCTTTGATAAAAAAGTACCATTTCAAGTCCACTATGTTATTTTCTACCACGATGCTTATTTTCAATTGAAAAAAAGAACGGAATTTGTTTATCTTATTTATTGAGATCACATTCATGTATCATCCAGTGGAACCATAAAGCAAATATAAGATGTAATAATTTTTTGGGGCAAAACATGATTTTCAATCACAATTAATCTAAAAGTGAGCTTACAATGAACAAGCACAATGTTTGTTCAAGCTAAGGAGTCGGCTTCGGCAACATCAGCGCGAGGGATACAGTTAAAGACAATAACACCAAAAGAAAGTATACTCGATTTAATATTAATTCACCATGATGCCATGTAGATCCGAAAACGTTGTACCACAGGAAATGACATTGATGAGTTGAGAGGAATCTGATTCAACTCTAATCTTCTTAACTTTTGATCTGTTCAAATACATATGGAGTATATATCTCTTTCGTTCTGCATAATTCAAATTTCAATATGGATGGTATGGATACTTACGGAATTAAATTCCACCAACACCAATCATACGCATATAGTTCACGACATTATCTTCAAAAAAAAAGTTCTTTACCAAATGCGGTTTCTCCCCTAAATACTTTAATATCATCATTTAATTGTTTGTTTGGAAACGTAAATAATAAACAACTCGTAGCCGGCCACACACAAGTGAAGTACCCGACCAAAACACACGAAAATATTAAATAACCTCAGCCTAAAGGCTGGTTTTATTTATTCGAAATTATATTTCGAAATATAAAAATTTACGAAGAGAAGCAAAAACAGACAAATTTATTTACAAAATGTTCGTCCTTCTCGCGTTTTCAACATTTTCGCGTTGAATCTTTCGCCGTCCTTACATTTATAGACGCAACCGTCCCAATCAACAAATCTCATTAAAAAAAATCATTTAACGCCTCTCGTCAACGAAACCGTCACCCCCGATAACGACGTCAGCGTCCCACCAAGTCTCACCGTCTGATTCCGTCAACGCGCCGTTAAACCTCCTCAGATCCCCCACCGCGATTTTCCCGCTGACGTCATCCCTGACGTAGATCTTCTCCACGCCTCCGACGTCGACTCCGATTATATTCCCGAGCAACCTCCCCGGCTGTTTCCACTCCGCCAGCAACGCCGGCATACGAAACCCGGCGCGTGGATCGCACGCCTCGACTTTAACGCCGTCGGTTCCTTTCTTCTCCGCCGTCAGAAAAAACGACGACGAAGAAGAACCGCAATTCCTGAGAAACGACGACACCACATTCCGGCTATCATCGTCGCCGTCTCCGTCGCCGTCGATATCCAGATGATCCCAAAGCTTCACGACTCCGCTGGATCCGATCCCGGCGAGATCCGGCCACGAGAACAGATCTCCGAAACTGCCACCGAAACATGTGAAATTCCCGTTTTGCCCCTCATTGTAATAATCTGATCCTTTCACGCGGAAACCTCCGTTGACCATTCCCCGGTTATAGATCGAGTCAACATCTTCTTCTTCATCCTCGTCTTCTTCGTCTTCCTCGTCTTCGTCATCTGAAGAAGCCAGCGACGAAGAACACGAAATATCGGAATCGCTATCGAAATCATCGAAAAGAGTCGGGGAAGTTATCGAGACATCTATTTTTCTTAACCTAGAAACTAAACTCTTGATTCTAGCGACGAAATTTGTGAAATAAGCTAAGAAAGCGATAATCAAAGCTCCCCATTTCCAGAAACCGTAAGCTTGGTGTAGCTTTCCGAATCCGGAAACAGCGACGGATCTAGAGAGAAACGAAGGATCGTTAATGGAGTTTATACCGACTTCGAAATCTCTTATTCTATTAATCACCGGAACCTCCATAGCTGTAAAGGAGAGAAAACAGTAATTAGGGGTTTTTTGAATTTTGTTGAGAGAAGAATGGTTGAGATTTGAGAAAGTAGAAGAAGAGGATTCAATGCAAAGAGATGATACAGAGGTTTTATAGAAAAGGGAAGAGAGAGAAGTGACGTGTCAGATAACTAGTGGAAGTGTGGGAGAGTTTTTTGGGTACACGTAGGATAAAAGTGGGAAAGATAAGGGCACAACCACAATGAGTCAGCATCTGACAGGTGTATTCTCTGTGTCTACCATTTAATTAAAGTATCTCTCTCCGCCACAATAAATAATTGTTTTTTTCTTTTTTGTTTTGTTTGTTGTTGTTAAGTACACTTTAATTAAATCATAAATTTTTGAGTAGTTCGAACCACCTACCACAATATAGCTTTATTTTAGTATTTGCCTTTTTCTTCACAATTATTGAAAATAAGGTTGGATTTGAGGCGCCCCAAAATTATTGTGTTGGTGGTTACTTTGTTAAGAGGATCATTGAGGTCCTCTCAATGAATAAGATATTTTTGTTTTATTTAAGAATAATACATTATATGTAATATGACAACTCATTAAATACGACAACTGTTTTTTTCCAATATACATTTATTTTCTTATCGATATGTAAAGAGGAAATTTTTGAAATGTGTATATACATGAATTTTCTTTGGCATATATACTTAAAAGTTTTAAAATAAGTGAATTTGATTATATATGGTAATTTTTTTTTTAAAATATATTAATGTCTTGAATCTCAGAGAGAAAAGATGTAAAAGATTGGATTTCTCATTAAGAGTATGTCCATTAGACAATTCGTCTTTAGAGTTTTTAAGAATATTAAATTAATTAATGAACAGTGGTTGATAATTTATTAAATCGATGGAGAGAAAATGAGTTTCATTTTTTTATGTATTATATTGATGGAGAGAAAAAATGGTTGACAATTTATAGTCCAAGAACCAATCTCAATTGTTTTTTAATCGAATACCAATGAGCACTTTACACCTGTTTGAACAAACTTTGTATGGATTGCTCCTTAAAATCCTTCTCCAAGGATCGTTTGTTATGTATTTGGCATTTTTTATTTATTTTTTATCCAATAATTGCTAACAAACCCAATACTAAACCTCTTAAAAAACTCTAATGGACCTGGTCTAATGAACAGTAAAGTTAGTTACAGATGTTTATACTATCCGATCTACTAAACCAAGAATAAACCAAATTAATTTATCCTATAAACCGGACATTCCAGAGCCCTTAACCGTGCTACTATATACACACGACTATGTTCTATACATACTCTAATAGTCCCCTTCAAGATGGAGGTGCAAAGATATTGCTAATTCCCATCTTGCTTATCAATTCTCTAAAAGGAGCAGGATGCAACGCCTTTGTGAGAGTGTCAGCTAACTGATTCCCTGTCTTCACATACATAGTCTTTAGAAAACTAGAGTCAATAGCTTCTCGCGTTTTGTAGCAATCTAGTTCAACATGCTTCGTCCTCTCGTGATATACAGAATTATTAGCAATGTGCATAGCAGCGGTATTATCACAATAAAGGTAAGCAGGTGGAGAGAAAGGGACCTTCAAATCAACAAGTATCCTTGAAAGCCAGATCATCTCCTTAGTGGCAAGAGCCATTGCTCGAAATTCTGCTTCTGCGGTGCTACATGAGATCGTATTTTGTTTCTTGGACTTCCAGGAAACCAAGGAATCTCCGATGAACATACAGTATCCAGATACCGATCTTCTAGTATCCACACAAGCAGTCCAATCAGAGTCTGCAAAGCCACGAAGATCAAAGTTCTTGTCAGCCGAATAGAAGAGTCCTTGACCAACAGTTCCCTTCAAGTAACGTAATACTTTGTATACAGCTGTGAGATGAATGTCTCGAGGGTCATGAGAGAACTGGCACAAAGTATTAACGGCATAAGCAATGTCGGGTCTTGTAATCTGAAGATACTGAAGTTTGCCCAAGAGCTTTCGATATGAAACAGGATCAGCAATAGGAACTCCTTTATCTTTTGACAACTTCACACTAGGATCCATTGGAATACTTGACGGTTTACAACCCAAGTATCCAGTAGTAGATAGTAGTTCCAAAGTGTATTTCCTTTGACAAACTGATATGCCTTGAGCTGATCTAGCAATCTCCAAGCCAAGGAAGTATTTTGTTGTACCAAGATCACGAAGCTTGAAGTAAGAGGCCAACTCATCCTTGAAAACACGTACTAGATCATCATTGTTGCTGACAATGAGTATGTCATCAACATAAACCAATACGCCCAAGAACACACCATCTTTGTATTTTACGAACAATGTGTGATCACCAACTGACTTTTCAAAACCCATTTCACAAAGAGTAGAGGAGAGCTTCAAAAACCATTGCCGAGAAGCTTGTTTGAGACCATAGATGGATTTATGAAGCCTACAAACAGCATTCAGAGGTAAGGGATCATCTTGAAGATCTGCATATCCTGGTAGTATCTTCATATAAATTTCTTCATCTAAGTCCCCATTGAGAAAAGCGTTTGATATGTCAAGTTGGCTCACTGACCAGTTCATCTTAGCTGCAAGGAGTAAAAGCATGCGAACTGTAGCTAGTTTTGCAACAGGTGAAAAGGTTTCTTCATAATCCAAACCTTCTTGTTGTGTATACCCTTTAGCAACAAGTCTTGCCTTATATCTCTCAATACTTCCATCAGCATTGTGCTTAACTGTAAAGACCCATTTACAGCCAATAGCAACCTTGTTAGGAGGTAAAGCACATACACTCCATGTATGAGTCCTTTTCATAGCACCAATTTCATCCTTCATTGCGTCACAATACACCTGTAAATCCTTGGCTTCTGAATATCTTTGTGGTACAATTTGGTTGGTAATGGTGTTAAGAAAGGCACGAAAAGGCTCAGATAAGTATGAATAAGAGATATAGTTGGCAATAGGGTATAGTATATTACTAGTAAAGGTATAGCAATGAAAATCCTGCAAGTGTTTAGGAGGTTTCTTGTGTCTTTGAGATTTAAACTCAGAAGGAGCAGAAATCTCGGAGGATGATACATCAAGGGGTTGATGTACATCGGAAGATGATTGCTCTTGAGGCAAATGATCATCATTGGGTGCAGGAGAGTGTAAATGAGGAAAGAAGACCTTTGTGTCATCTTTGAGAGTAGAAGACATAAAGGAAAAAATATCCTCATGGAATATGACATGTCGAGAAATGGAAATGGCATATGTCTCTATATCTAGTTGCTTATACCCTTTGTAACCGGAAGGATATCCTAAGAAGACACAGGCTTTTGCTCTAGGTTCAAACTTATGCCTACCTTTCGGAGATGTTGAACTATAGCACAAACACCCAAAACTCTTTAATGATTCATAATCCGGAACCTTGCTAGTCAGTTTCTCAAAAGGAGATTTGTTCTCTAGAACGGGAGTCGGTAATCTATTTATTAAAAACACAGCTGTTAAGACACAATTTCCCCAGAATTCTAAAGGAACATTAGACTGAAACAGAAGGGCTCTAGCTACATTCAATATGTGCTGATGCTTCCTTTCAACCACCGAGTTTTGCTCAGGTGTTTCAGGACATGAATGAAACGAAACAATGCCTTTCTCAGAGAATAATGCAGCAAATTTCAGTTCATGTGCATTGTCGGATCTAACAGATTTAACCTTTGTCTTATATTGTGTTTCAACCATAGATATAAAGCCAGGAAAAACAGTCAAGACATCAGATTTATTTTTCATTAGATAGATCCATGTAGCACGACTGAAGTCATCTACAATTGTCAGGAAATACTTGAAATCATCAACAGTAGGAACTGAGAATGGACCCCAAGTATCGATATGAACAAGTTCAAATGGTTCTTTACACATGTTCTGTCTAGATGTAAAAGGTAAATGTTTCTGTTTCGATAATTGACAAAAATGGCAAACATGAGAATGGTTCTTATTGTTATTCCTTAAACTCAACACATTCGACAATACATCAAGTTTAGATTGAGAAGGATGACCTAATCTCTTATGCCAAGTGACATTATCAACCTTAAAACTAGAACAAACTGGTGTAACAGAATATGTGGAATCAGTACCTTTTAAAGAAACAGAATGACTCGATTTATCAACTTCCAAAACATATAGATTTCCAACTTGACTACATTGACCAATCATCAATTCCTGTGTAAGTTTCTGGATAAAACAAGCATCAGAAGTGAAGCTAACTTTAGACTTTAAGCTCTTAGCAAGCACACTTACACTGATCAAGTTGAATTTAAATTCAGGAATGTAGAGAACATTATGCAATGCAATAGCATCAGACAATTGAATGAGTCATACGCCCTCTATCCTAACTGTGTAACCATTAGGCAAAGTGACAAAGGTTCTGTCTAAGGATCTATATGACACATAAAGTTCTCGAGTATGGGTGACATGGTGTGTAGCTCCGGAATCTATTACCCAAGCTCTAAGAGACAATGCCGGTTCCGTAGAGATAGATGAAATTAACATGTCATAATAGGCATTGGAATATAGAGCAAGAAAGGTACATGAAATCTGTGAGACAACAGGACCAGAAGTTGAAGTCGAAGCACAAGGTTTCCCAGATGTACCTTCTACAGATGAGGAATGAAGTTTGGAGCTCAAATAAGAAATCATTGTTTGAATCTGATCCGGAGAAAGCTCATCCTGATTACTGGTTTCGACATCTTGATTAGAAGTGACAAGATTAGTAATACCAATATTCTGAGATTTCTTCCATTTCGGACCAGAACCCGGAGGGTAGTCATGAAGCTTGTAACATTTCTCAGCCGTATGTCCAGTCTTGTGGCAATGTGAGCACTTTGGCTTCTGCGAGTTGACTTGACTTATAAGAGCATGAGATTGATCAGGAGCAGCAGGTGCTTGAACTTGGAAAGCAGTGGGATTGGAAAGGATAAATGTAGGAGATCCACCAATGTTCCTTTGACTTTCATCTTGATCAAGCATATTATATATGGCTGTTAATCCTGGTCTCGGCTTCATGTTTAATATCTGGCCTCTAATGTTAGCAAAGCTATCATTGAGTCCCATAAGGAACTGAATGATTCTGCTAGTTTCAGCATCTTCCAATAATTCTTGAACATGATCACAATTGCAGCGCTTCACTGTAGATGACTTGGTATTAGCGAGTTGCTCCCAAAGAGTCTTCTTCTTAGTGTAATACGCAGACAAATCCATATTGCCTTGTTTGAGAGTCATTACGGCCTATTCAAGCTGATATTTCCTCGGAAGATTGCTTACTCGAAATCGGAGATAAAGATCATTCCACATTTCCACAGCATCGTCATAATACAGAATGCTATCATAAATCTCCTTGTTAACAACGTTTAGAAGCCAAGATTTAACCATGCTGTTACACCTACTCTAGATCTTAAACGAAGGATCATCTTCATCAGGTCTAGGCAAGCTACCATCAACAAAACTAAGCTTGTTCTTCGCATCTAAACTCATCTTCATAGCAATCAACCATGTATTGTAGTTTGTACCATCAAGTAGGTGATGGGCAAACCTGGATGATCAGCAGAATGAAGAAAGAATGGACTATGGACATTATCGAAGGTGTCCGTAGTCGTAGAAAACGAACCAGATCTACCACGAGGAGCAGTAGTCTGAGCTGGTGGAGTTATCGCAACATCATCATCGGCCATTGATGAAGAACCAAATCGAGATCCAGCTCTGGTCTTCAACGGAGAGATATCTGTTGCCGGAGGATGTTGAACACGAGATTTCTTTCCTTGTTTCACCATTGTTGCAATAGAAACACAAATGTGATGTTGAACACGCAAATAAGCTTCAAAAATTGGGATTCGAAGTATCGGAGTTCAAACGGAGCACAGATTTGGAATTGGAATGGATAATAAACGGTGAAAATGAGGAAGAAACGAAGATTCGATGAGAAATCGAGGTAGAATCAGAGAGAAACGAGCTGGAAAAGCTCTGATACCATATTAGCGTCTTGAATCTCAGAGAGAAAAGATGTAAAAGATTGGATTTCTCATTAATAAACAGTAAAGTTAGTTACAGATGTTTATACTATCCGATCTACTAAACCAAGAATAAATCAAGTTAATTTATCCTATAAATCGGACATTCCAGAGCCCTTAACCGTGCTATTATATACACACGACTATGTTCTATACACACTCTAATTGAATGATAGTTAAATTCATCAATTTGTATGTGAATTTTCGGAAATATATTATATTTTAGGAATTTAGTTTTATGTATGCAATTATGCATGAATTCTGTACACAAAAAAGGTGCTAGAAACTCTTATGGGCCCGGTCTGAGACAATTTCGTATTGTAGGAACAACGACATGTAAAGCCACAGATTTTATGCCACCTGTCTCTCCCGAAATAGCCGGAAAACAAAATAGCCATTTATAGCCATTAGTTATAAGCTGATTTCTACCAGAATGAGCTGGAAGTAGATTTGGTCCAAATCACAATAAGACGTTTCTGGTTAGATGCACGCCACGATCTCTTCTATGAGAAGGCATCATCAGATTAAATCTTCTTACTTAATTTTTTTGACGGACTTATCAATCCGTTTACGTTTTGATCTTTACTTAAAAACTTGTGTGGTCTACAAAAGAATTAGAAGCAAAGTCTAATTTGTTTTATTTTAGGTAAAATTTGGATTTTGTTCGGATAGAGATAGATTTTAGTGCAACATGTATTTTGGAGTTTAAGAATTTTCAACAGCTATTAAAAACTTGTCTCTCTCATTATGGTATTGGGTATATTACCCTTCAACACCGTAATGTGCCATGAATTGATTCAACCCAATCCATTTATTAGTGAAATTGACAAAGTATCTTTCAACCCTACTACGTTGCACAAATTTTTTATAACCCAATTTTTTAGTAATCTTTGCATTTAAAGTAATCATTTCGATGAGGAATTAAATTATTGTAAAATGTTAATAAAGTCTGATAATGATGTGACGATGGTGATAATTCTGATTATTATGCATGGAAATAATGTGGTATTAAATTGAGAAGCATGTTGGATAGTGAAAGTGCAAGAAAGTCTCATTCATTAGAATAGATAATATAATTATATGATTTAAATAGGAAAAGATTAATGAACGAATGTTTTTGTGAAAAGGGGAAGCCACCAAGGCACCAAGGCACCAAGTTGGTAGCCGGAAAAGTTCCAGCTTTGGGCCAACTAGTTTCAAATTCAACAAACCAATTTGTTTTATTATTGAGCCCAAAAATCGACTCGCGAACCATACGCTAATTGACACATCAATGTGATGAACATCTAGTTATACGAAGTACATTATTTATCATCATATAGACAAGTACTCGAAGTCTCGAACTAATCAAGCCTAGCCAAAATCAAGGCTAATTAACATTGACACAAATAGCACTACATTAAAAACTAAAATCATCAAACGAAATGGATTGAACGAGACGTCGATCTAAAACTGCGTTTGTGTTGGCATTTTTTTAGATATTTTTTTTTCTTTATTATTTGTGTTTGCATTAGCTCTACTAGGTAGTACTTAGGTAGCTCAAAGATTAGACGAAACATCTTAACTTGTGTATATCTATTCTCACCATTATAATTCGTGTTAAACACTATTCGGACCGCGAACTGGCAGTTAGTGTCTTGATAGATTAGTTTGGGATTGTTTCTTCTTGTTGAGCCAATATCTACAAATCATGTTGTTGCAAAAGCGAGATCAATCTCGCCAATTTAGTCGTTAACAATAACAAGACTACAAATCACACGACTCACAAGTTGATTGATCCGAATCTCGGTTACCTGACTATGCAAATGATGGCAGAGTTGGTTTTTCAAAGCTTGTTGCAAGACAAAGCAATGACAACAACCATGGATAAAGTTTGCAAGAACTAAACACGTTTAAAAATGAGGAGTATACATGTCATGACAAGAGAAACCACAACGAAGCTGTCAAGCTGATGAGGCTTCCCTATTAAGGAATTGTGTGTTTATTGCTATTTTCTATAGAAATATATGATATGAGGCATAAGTTTGTGAAGCTATGTGATGTATTGAAAGAATGTAAGAAAATAATCATTACTAGTCACTGGCTGTCACCAAATTTACAAAAAGGTGATTGTCTCATTCTAAACACAGTAACAAGACAAGGATTTTTAAAGCTGTGAAGACTGAAGATGATGAATCTATGACCAAAAACACGTGGCTCTCATCAGCTCTCACATTATTTCTTGTTCTTTTCTTTTCAGAAAAGGAGTAAAATCCAGAGCAAACGATTCCTTCTATGCACATTGAAGAAAGTAAAAGTGCAACAACATGAGAAATAGAAAAGAATCGAATAAATAAAAACTTTACCTTTTTCAAAACTTCGGCAAAGACTCAATCAATAATGACACATTTGGAATTTCATTGGAAACTGCGTCATCAAGGTCCACATTATTCCATTCAAAGTCTCACTTTTGAGAGAAGAGACTGCTTCAAAAGAATATAAAGGATTATTTTTGGTGTTGCGAGGTTTGATTCTCACTTGATATAATTACGAGGCACCATTCATTATTAACCCAAGTATTTTTATCAAATTCCCAAATCCATGGCAACGTTGCAGAGATTCAAGTTCCTAGCGACGCAGTGTGGAGTTACACAGAGCCCGACACGAAGTCCAAGCCCAAGAACAAGCCCGTTGGTACAGTTTCGTCGCAAGAAGACAACCTTAAAGATGCTTCTGAGTCTTAGATCGCCGAGCCGCCGTGAGCAGCCGCTGATTAATCAGGGACGTTCATCGGCGGCTGATAAAGAAGACGTAGCTGGACGCAAACTGAGAGACTTATTCGTCTCTTCGTCTACCGTAGAGGAAGAAGAAGAAGAGAATGAGAGACCGAAGGGGAAAACAAAAGAAGAAGTTCTTGCAGCCATGGCAGCTAAACTGAATGCAGCTGCTAGTCTCCAAATGGAGTCGGACGCAACACCGGTTTTGTTCGGATTCAGTAAGCGGCTTCTTCAACGAGCTTGGCGTCCTAAGCTTGGTACCATTCCTGAGTAATGTAACCATTTTTTTTTTCTTTCTTATTTGAAAACCAATTCGGAAACCATTGGTTTCCTATATGAACAAATAGATATGCTTTTATCAAATCTCGTATCTTAGCTACAAGTCTTATAAAAACAAAACAAAATTTGTATTTACATACACTTTTTCATTTTGTGGCCAAAAACCATTTAATACTATGATTACTAAAAAGAAAAAGGACGAAAAATGTTACAACTTGATAACCACTATGATAGGAAAAAAAAAAGGATTGGGGAAGTATTGATTTGAGTCTGTGAGTCTCTCAGACGGAAATCTGTTTGTTCTTCTTCACCGATTTCACGGTTAACTAAACTCTGTTTTTTTTCTTCTTCTGACTATTACTAAATAATCTCATTCTCATTAATTAAATAAAAACTGTACTCTTGACCCAAAAAAAAACCCTGTCCAATTGGGGGTTTATATTCATCAGTTAACCTGGCCTAAACCGGTAGCGTTAGACTAAAATAACCAACACTGGTTTATACTATACCAATAAACCATACCAGTTCACAGACTCTAGACACTATATACATCAATACTGACTTGGGCTTTCCGGGTGTTTTCTTCTCTGGGGTGAATCCCTCATGCTTCTTCCCTCATCTTCCGCAATGTTTAAAAAGCCCAACGAGTCTGTTAGAATCACTAAATCATAAGCATTTACATTAGAACTTGTGAATTATAAACGTTCTTTAACAAAAAAAACCTTTGAATTATAAAATAGAGAAAAGGCAAAATACAAAATTAATAATATACAATTACATTACAAAATCAACTAAAGCATAAGAAAAAAATCAAATAGAGTGTGAGAGAGAGGTATAGTCCGAAGAACATGTGAATATTCGTAAAACCTCAATTCCACAACGGTTTTAGTTATATTTTGATCATTGTGTTCGTATCAACTTTTGTTTGGGATTAATGATTTTGAGATTTTTTGTGTGTTTTGGATTAATAGTTTTTTGATATTTAATTTTACTTTATTTCTCGTGTATGCGTGATAGTTTTGTGCTCTAAAAGATGCGTATGTATAAAGTTTGTTTGAGATCATGATTTTGGTGCTTCGTATTTTATTTTGTTTGTGCGATATGGCATGAGTAATGTTTTGTTTGAGATATTTTTTGTGTTCCACATTTTTGTTTGTATTATATGTTATTTTTTTTGCTAAAATTCTTCTGTTATATCTTTGTGTTATATATATGTTTGTGTAATGTAATTGTATGGATGTCTGTGTTTTTATTTTGTTTGATATATACGATTCAGTTGAATGGTATTAGCATTAGTGGTAATTTGACGATGTGTTTTGATAATAAAAAATTTGGATAAATCTGTAAAACATTTTGATAAAAAAAGACGTACCAAAGAATCTCAAGGAAAGAGAAGACTTAGCTTGCGTAAAATGGAACCAATATGCACTCTTTCGGTAAAGGAGAATGGAGAATAGAGTTGAAGTTTGTTGATTTAGCTCAAATTCTATGGAACACAAAGACTTCAATCGGAAAATAGAGCCAACTCCTTAAGATTCAGCATCATAACTAGCAATATATAAGACTCTCAATACTATACAACTATATAAGCTTGTTGCAGTTCGAATAATTTTTCATAAAAGAAACGAAACTAGTACTTACTTCTAGAAAGAATTGGACTTGACTCACCATCGTAAGGACCCACAATATGTAAAAATATAATGGAACTAACACAGTGCTTTAGGAAATACTTACTGAAATGAAAATTATGGACTGTTCTTGATACTCGATAGAACTACAAACGAAAATTCACCTAGATAATATGAAAATACAAGATTGATTTATGCTGTGTAAATCCCAAATAAGAAAAACATAAAAAAGTAATTAACAAACCTAAGAAAACGATAGAGGTTACCACAATCTCCATACATGCTGACATCATTTATCTCCTCAATAGAGAACAAAAAACGAAATTCACCTAAATAATATGAAATACACGATTGATTTATGCTCTCTAAATCACAACTAACAAAGACAAAAAAATGAACAAACCAAAGATAGATAAGAGCACACTGAGTCCAAGTACGTTTTGCATACTGAAATTTCTTGATCAAAACTTCACGATCTTTTACTTTCACGTACTTCCAAAATGTAGGTTGAACATGCACTAGTTAAACAAATTATAAAATATCAAGAGATATTATGATTATCTAGAGATATTATGATTATCTAGAGATATTATCTTACTTATGCAAAATCTGTCAAAACCTACTTCTTTTTTTGACAGGATTAGAATGTTGTTAACTCCAAACCATCATTAACTATAGAAGACTGAACTATTTTTGCACGTTCTAGCATTTGTTTCCCAACTTCATGTTTCTGCAGGAGATTAAGTCAAATAAAAATATTCAAATCTAAATTTTTTATATTATTTCTTAAAATATACATATAGTACTTGCTCATCTCCTTAGAAGTACTTGCTCATCTCCTTAGAAGTACTTGCTCATATAGAATCTCATATTTGAGATAGATGTTTTTGATTGCTGGGACATAGATTTCATGGGATCATTCATCTTCTCATATGGGAACCAATACATCTTGGTAACTGTTTATTATGTTTCTAAATGGCTAAAAACTATTGCTAGTCCAACAAATGATTCTAAAGTGGTGTGCAAGCTATTCAAGATATTTAGCGGCTACAACTCCACCTATGAGTATAGACGGGTTTTAAAACAAAATAATAATCATGTATAGAAAATATTAACACTATTGATACGATCCTCCCAAGGATTTGCACTTGCTCGTTTGGTAGGAGTTGATAAACTCGGCCAGATCGGTTTGATCGGAGAGATGCTAAGGGGTGAGGGTTGCCTCGAAGGTCCTTAGGCCCAACTCGCGAGAAACAGAAACTGATCAAGGGATGAAAACACCAAGTGTTGATCTCGCGGGTTAAGGATGAACAGGAGTGAGACTTGATCTCGAAAATCATGTTGCCCCTAAACTACTTTGAACGAAATCGAAAACAAGATGTAAGGAAGGCTGCGTCGAATCCTATGGATTGAATCCGATAAATCAGAAAGTAACTTTCAAGGCTAACCACCTAAGAAAGGAAAAACTCAGAAAGAACAAGAGAAAATCTCGATTTTTATTGATAAAAGGTGAATGATAAAATACAAGGAAGTTTGGCCTTTATATAGAGGCGCATAGAAGTGCAAAAGACAAAGAAAAAATTAAATGAAAAACAATGAATGCATTGAATGACCACTCGGCTCCTTTGAATATCCTTTCGGCTTCTTTCGCGCGGGTGACCATTGATCTCCCATAACGGCTAATTAACAAACTTGGATAAGGAAGATGTGGCCCCTTAACCTCATTAAAACCCCATCCGGTAAAACCCAGTGGGACAAACCCAGATGCAAGGAAAAAGAGTGTCAAGGAGCTACACCGTCCGAGTAGGTCAAAAGCGTTACAGCTCGGTCGTTAAGTGTAGCGTCTGTGAACTTGGCCTTCAGCTCGGTACATAACTTCCAAATGACCATGGACAGCTTCTTAGCTCGGGACCGTGTAATAGGACCAGTGAGCTCGGCTAAATCCGTGCTTGGGTCGTCCACTTCGTTGGTCTTCCTGTCTAGAACCTCCACCTCGCTTAGCTCGGCCACTTGGTCGTGATTTCCGGTCTGGACTTGCTCTCCGGCCTGACCCTCAGTTCGCACCTCGTCCATGCTCGTATCATTCCCCCCCTCTTGAAAAGGACTTGTCCTCAAGTCTGGTCCATCTGGAAGAAAGGGAACTAAGTCAGAAACATTAAAGCTTGAGCTGACCGTATACTTACCTCGGATGTCGATCTGGTAGGCATTGTCATTGATGCGGTTTAAAACCGTGAATGGTCCATCGACTCGGGGTAAAAGCTTGGACTTCCGTTCCTCAGGAAATCGTTCTTCCTTAGATAAATCTAGACTTGGTCACCGGGCTCGAACGTTCTTTTGCTTCTTCTTTTGTTTGCTTTTCTTTGAAATTGCTCGGTTTTCTTTTGAATGTTTTCCTTGGCTTTCTCGTGCATTTGTTTGACCAGTTCGGCCTTTTTCTTGCCATCTAGATTAAGTCTTTCACTCATAGGCAAAGGGGTTAGATCAAGTGGAGTAAGCGGATTAAACCCATACACAAGTTGAAAAGGAGAAAAAATTGTAGTTGAATGAACCGAATGATTATAAGCAAACTCAACATGTGGCAAGCAATCTTCCCAAGTTCTAAGATTCTTTTTAATCACAGATCGTAGCAAAGCTGATAAGGTTCGGTTAACTACTTCAGTTTGTCCATCAGTTTGAGGGTGACAAGTAGTTGAGAAGCACAGTTTAGTTCCAAGTTTTGACCATAGGGTTTTCCAAAAATAGCTAAGGAACTTAGTGTCCCGATCTGAAACAATGGTTCTAGGAACCCCATGTAATCGGACAATCTCCCTAAAGAACAGGTCGGCAACATTGGATGCATCATCGGTCTTATGGCATGGAATGAAATGAGCCATTTTAGAAAACCTATCTACAACCACAAAGATCGAATCTCTACCTCTCCTAGTGCGTGGCAATCCTAACACAAAGTCCATGGAAATGTCGGTCCAAGGCTCACTAGGGATTGGAAGGGGAGTGTACATACCTGGGCCTTGACTTCGGGTTTTGGCCATCTTGCAGACCGTACATCGTCCACAGATCCGTTCCACGTCGCGTCTAAGGTGCGGCCAGAAGAAGTGATCTTGCACCACACTCAGGGTCTTAGCTACTCCGAAATGCCCCATCAGTCCACCTCCATGTGCTTCCCTAACAAGTAAATCACGAAGAGATGTGTTAGGTATGCATAAGCGGTTTTCATAAAAGAGATAGCCATCACTTTGGTAATATTTGCCGTGGGCAAATTTCGAGCTGGCTCGGTAGACTTCCTGGAAGTCTGGGTCGGTGAGGTAGGCATCCTTTATCATCTCGAATCCCAACACCTTAGCGTCCAAGGTGGTAATCAAGGTGTATCGACGAGATAATGCGTCGGCCACCACGTTC